CATTTATTATACTATCTACATATATAAGAGTATAATTAATGTGTATAATATCAGTTAAAATTAAAGCTGCAAGCTGCGTTGAGCGGGTCTTCGACGCTCTGCAGGCTGTTGTCCGCACGTCGACGTGTGTGTCTAGGTGTCTCGAGGACTCGGCCGTTGGCAAACGTGGGAAGTTTCATGCCGAGCGGACAATGTCTTTGAGTTACAGCAGTAACACAAACGTTGTGTTTGATGGCGAGAGATCTGTCGCCATGGCAACGGCATTTGATGACACCCCATAATATGCTTAGTTGTGTTGAGGGCTGCATCGTTATCAAACCTGTGAAGTGTTGTGCCGTTTGGAGCATGTTGACTGGATTTATGAGAAAACCGTGTTTCACGGCGACCATTTTGTTACCATAGCAACTAAATTGGACGAAATCTCAAAACTGACACAAATATGTCTCAAGGGCTTGACAGTTAGCACACATTTGAAATTTGAACACTTTTTTACCATTTACACAGGAGTTATAGCAATATCGTGCTTAACGGCGAGGGAAGCGTTGCCATGGCAACAGCTTTTGAGGAAAACTCACTATTGTCATATTGAGGTGTTGAGGGCCGGACCATTTGCCATCATCTGAAGTCTGGTGCGGGACTTGTTGAGATGCAGTTTCGGCTACCAATGAATTATACCGCAATGGTACCGGTTGCCTAGGGAGCCGGTATTGTGTGTGCCACAGCCGACATTTGAGGTTACCCTGTGCTAGGGTAGCAGGGGTTAGAAGTGAAAATATAGTGACCAGGTACGGAGTTGTCGAGATGTACTTTAGACTCTAGAGTGGTATACGGCAAAGGTACCGGTTGCGTAGTGGGAGCGGTTTTTTATGCTACAACAACATTTAGTTACTTTTTAGCAGGTTTGTCGGGGGTCTGAAGTCTACTGTCAATTACCAGACCGGGAGTTGTCGAGATGCGGATAATACCCATACAGTAGTATACGGCAACGGTACCGTTGTCGAGGGAGCGGTAATTTGTACCACAACAGCATTAAGGTTACCTTTTAGCAGGGTTTGCCGTGGTCTGAAGTCTGATAGTAATTACCAGGGCCGGAGTTTGTCGAGATACGGTTAATACTTACAGTAGTATACGTCAACGGTACCGTTGTGCGCAGGAGCGGTTTTTTGCCATAACAGCATTGAGTTCCTCTTTTAGAGGTTTGCCGTGGTCTGAAAGTCTGGTAGTAATTACCAGGCCGGCAGTTGTCGAGGATGCGGTTAATACCCTACAGTAGTATACGGCAACGGTACTGCTGTCGAGGGAGCGGTAATTTGTACCACAACCAGCATTAAGTTACCTTTTAGCAGGTTTGCCGTGGTCTAAAGTCTGATAGTAATTACCAGGCGCGGGAGTTGTCGAGATACTGGTTAATACCCTACAGTAAGTATACGGCAACGGTACCGCTGTCAAGGGAGCGGTACTTTGTGGCCACAACAGCATTGAGTTTACCTTTTANTATGCTTTGACTTAGTTGACCTTAACTTACTGCTGAAAAAACAAGGGACCATTTTTTTTTTTCTGTGGTATCAGCATAACATTTAAGTAATAGCAGGAAGTTCCTGCTATTACTTAAATGTTATGCTGATACCACAGAAAAAAAAAAATGGTCCCTTGTTTTTTCAGCAGTAAGTTAAGGTCAACTAAGTCAAAGCATATCAAGAATGACATTTAACTGAAATGTCAAGATATTTACAAGTAAACATTGCCTAACAGACTTGGCATTAACAGACTGCTCAGGTGATGAGTGAGGCATTTCCTTTGACGGTAATGTGATATTTCTCAATATTTGGAAACCACCTACTGTTTCACCACCTTATGCTTCTGAACAGGTGATAGATATAGCTCAATAGAAACCTTAGGCGCTTTCACACCAAGTGCTTTTCCCAGGAATATTTCCCGGAACTTAATTCCCCGGAACTCTTTAATTCCTGAACTATCAAGTAGATCGCGTTCACACCGGAATAAGTCCCTGAGGGAGGATTACGCAAATGAAGCCGCTGACGTCACTTCTTCTTCTTCTGCTTTGGGTTTACTGGCAGGCCGCAAACAATTTCACTGCCACCCGAAGTCCCGGATAAATCGTCAGAAGCGCCGACTCCTCCTCATCACTCCACCGCTCCCACGTTTTATTTTGTGTTGCCATAAGTTAGTCTCTCTCCGTTGGTGCGCTGGGCTAATGCTAATAATGCTAATGCGAGCAAATAAAATGGCAAACAAAACATTTCTGAGTTTTACGGGGCGTGGTTTGCAATTCGCCCAGCCAATCACAAATTGGAAAAAAAGTTCTAGTTCCAGATCTTTTTGGTGTGAACGCAAAATCCCAGGAACTATCGGAACTATTCCTGGGAAAAGCACTCTGGTGTGAAAGCGCCTCTTGTCTACTTCACGTTTCTGTTCCTGTGGTGTGTCTTTGTTTCTTTGCTCAGTAGGATTACAGGTGTGGTCATATCTCAACAAGACTGAAGTCCTACAAACAAAGGGCCCACCTGAAGATGAAAGTCTGTTTTTAGTTTGAAGCTGCCCTTTTCATGAGGTTTTTTGGCCAAATGACAGCATCTGTCTGTGTGTCTTAGAGATCAACATTTAGGAGGAACAGCGTGGTTCTGTGTGAAAGAGGATACTGGGCAGAGAGGCCGGACAATAGCTCAGTCAGAGAGAGTGATTGAGAGGGGAAGATAAAGTGAGGCTGGGTTTTGTTGTAGTGAAGGGCTCTCTGAAAGGGCACGATATATCTACTTTCAGAGGAAGATCAGAGAACAGAGCAATCCACAGCCCCACCTAATGCACACACAGATACATACAAACACACCCGAGGTGTACTTTGTTCTCTCCCTGAAAGATTGTCAGTTTTGGAACAAATTCATTTTCTACTGCTAATAGTTACTCTTGACTTGTTTTGTAGGTATTCCACTGACTGGCAAACACATGTTCTTCTTGATTTGAAATCATCTCTATTTTTATGAATATAGAGGCTTGTTTATTTATTATAATCTGATAGTCAACCGTTATCCATCCACCTGACAGGAGTTTCATATCAAGATGCTGATTGTGTGTCCGGGTGGGACTTGGGCCTGTCACAGTAAAGGCCACTCTAAAATGTGCCAATTTTTTAAAATGTATAAATACACATTTCAGAGGTACTCTGAACAACGGATTTCACAGGCACTTTTTGGTCACACAGGATTCATTCATTCATTAAGAAAGAGAAGTGCCTTTTGCAATCTTTCACAGATATTTGACCAACATTTGAGAGGAATAAGCGTTTTGGTTGTATGGGATAAGTGTTGTATATTTAATTTCTGCCTATAAAAAAGAGAATCAAAAAGAAAGGATATAATAAAGTGTATTTATGTTGCACATTTAAAATGATTACAAAGTCCTTTTACAATTTCAAAACAATACGATGGTCAGGTAAACACATTTATAAGAATACTAAAAAAGAAAAGACCCCAAACATAAAAATGTCCAAGAAGTAAGGTTAGCATTAGGTTAGTAAGATAAGCATTAATGCTGACTCACTGTTCTGTTTTCAGTGTATTCAATTCATGTTTAATGTCAGCGCACCAACACACCACAGCTTCTCCTTCTTCAAAGAATTTCACAACATTTTATTTTAAACTGTTACACCAACCACAAGACCTCTGTTTCCTGATATGAGCCCAGGCTCCCCACATGTTCTCAGTAAACTGCCTCTAACCTAAAAGGTTATTTCCACTAAAACAAACGTGTAGCTGAAATGAGCAAAAAAGCTGCTTCTGTATCATTGTTGACAATATTATCATATGGTACGACATTAGGAATTAAAAAAACAGGTTTGGGACAGGTGCTGTAAACTGTACTATCATAATTAATCTGGTTGTGAAATAAAAAGTGCTCTCCCTTCCCTGGGCAGCTTGTCTTAATGTACTCATCAGATGTAATACTCTTATCCAAAGTGCTGCCACAAAACTGATTGAACTGAAAAGAGACTCGGTCGTTAAAACGCAAATTCTCAGTCAAGGCAATTAGTGTTTAGGGAGGACCCGAAGTTAGGATGTTAAAGCATTGTGATATCGGACAGGTTTGAACACGTGAGCATACATACTTGAATGCAAACAAGAAGGAAGCGTGAAACAAGTGAAGCGTGAATGGTTATCTAAGCGGTATTTTGATGCAATGCCAAATCAGTATTCATATTAACATCTCTCAGCATTTCCTGTTATTAATCTTAGTGCTCTGTGTAGCATCCTGTCAATTCTTCTGTATGGTGTTGCTGCTGCATTGGCTTAAAAAAAAAATGTATTTAAAGTTTTCATCATCCTTGAATAGTTTAATTTGAGACATTCTGGCTCTGCCCAGGAAAGTAGCACCAAAGGGAAATATAAGCTGAAATGGATTGCTTGGATGAGCCAGTGTAATATAAATGTCATTGCAAACATTGTGTTGCTGCGAAATGTACACGACTCAAACTGCCATGATAGAGTAACTCTCTTTTCTTCCAAGTATTAGATTGTGTTTGATGCCTATTCTGTAGGTGTTACTTAGTGGCTGAACCCTGCTCCCAGTTTTTTAAAACAGTTTTATAATAGTTCTACATTTTCTCAACTAATTAATAACGTATTCTTCTTATTGTGTTAAAGTATCATCAATATTTCACCAGAATAAATTCCTTGTATGTGTAAACCTACATGGCGATAAACCTGTTTCTGATTCTCTGAGCTTAGAAGTGGACCTTAGTCGGACCATTGTTTTATTTCTAATTTCTGCAATTTAAATAGTACATTACATACACATTCCAAAGTGACTTACAAAGCAGCTCGAGCAATCTGGGGTTCAATATTTTGCCAAAGGACACTTCAACTTGTTGACTGCATGGGCTGGGGATCAAACCACTGACCCTCTGATTGGTAGATGACCAGCTATGACCATGTAGCAGATCCTGTTCTAATGCACTCAATTGGTTTCCTTTTTTTCCCTCACAGAGAAGCTGATAGCGTACCAGCGGGAGTTCCATGCCTTGAAAGAGCGCCTTCGTGTGGCCGAGCACCGGACGCTGCAGCGCTCGTCGGAGCTCAACAACATCCTCGAGCAGTTCAGACGAGCCATCGCCGAGTCCAACAGCAGCAAAGATGCTCTCACAAACTTCTCAGGTAACGGACATACAAACGCATACAAAGACCTGTTAACTAAACGTGCACACCAGGGGTTGGCAACCCTTGGCACGCGGCACCGTAACCAGTGGCACACTAGGAGAACCAGAGCGCGTCTCCCCGTTACCTGCAGAAGGAAACCATGCACGCAACGCAGCCCCACTCTCTTTATCTCCAGGTGACTTTCTGCCGCTTTCCTCCGTGGTGTAGTGCTGATCGTTTGACCACGGAGGAATGCACTTCACTAATTGCAGTACCTAAAAGGAGCTGTCCAAATGCCGCAGTTTTTGCGTGGCTGTGTCTTTAGGTGAAAGCCCAGTGGCGATCTGCTCATCTCTCATCGAAATAATATGCTACAAAGGGGCGGACTGGCCATCTGTGTGTTGAACTTTCCTGTCGGCTCCCAGACCGTAGTCGAGGAGGGCAGAAGCAACAAGCTTCAGGTTCAATAACCCACTTTAGCTTAAATGACTGGAGAGAGGTGAGCTCTTCTTGGGAGGCCGTTGCATTTATTTAGCTGTTCTTCTGTTTCACAAAATACATCACAGACCTCTGTTTTTCTGCTGCCTCGTTTCACTTCCAGAAACATACACACGTTCCCTCACTGTCGCTCTACCAT